GGAGGTATCTTTAAAAAATAATCTTGTTTTTCTTCTATTTTCAGGCTGTACAGCACAACTGTTTGCGACACTTGATGTTGCAGTAAAATCTGGCAATAATTTTGAACGATTCAATAATGTTTGTGAGTCAGTACTATCGGTATTTTTATATAAACCTTCCCCTTTTTTTTTAAAATTGTTTAGATATGGTTATAAATAGGTTTAGCATTTATTTATCAAGAAAAAAAAAATGAAATCTGACAAGTGTTATCAACAAGAAGCAATCATTTCTTGCTCTTCTAACAACTTTGCTTTTGAAAACAAACGAAGAAAATTTAAGCGATGGTTTATTTAGTCGTTTCAATGAAACTGTAGTCTGTTTGGCCAACCTAAAACACTGTGGATCATTTGAGCTATTTGAAACACTTTCCAGCGGTATGGCTTATATGTGTATCGAACAACGTGAAGGTATAGTTTAATCTAGTCAAAACTGTTGATACAATTACCATTGCAATAAACTGATCAAGCATTACTTATGTAATCAACTTTTAGCATTTACTGCAGTTATTGAATGCATTGATCAAAATGCAGCTGAGATTAAAGACGGTAAGTGATCTTGGCATAGTTTCTGTTAAATCTATAGCCACACTAATGATGTGTTAAGTACATCTAAAATTTAGTCAGACATCTTAATTATTTTGTTAATAATTGTTGCTAGCAAACCATCTATGGTTTGTATGCTCAAGTTTACGAAAAGTCTAATTGCTTTTCCTAAGTTTTTTTCGTACTTATTCCTTGGCAGATTGTTTTTGCCTGCCTAAGACGTTCAGTTTTGGCCGTCCGTGAAATTAACACTGAAGAAAATTTTTAGGCTGTGCAAAAACTTGTAATGCCCAGGGTATATTTACTGGATGGGCAGTTTATGCTGCTCTTCGAGATGCAAAGTTAATAACGCCTCAGATCGGCAAGGTTCCTTCGAAAGTAAATGTTGCTTTCTTTAGGAAAATGACTGGCGAAGGATGCGTGTAAGATATTTCAGTTTACATTATATTAGTCATACTAGAGCATTTAGCTTCCTCATCTTCGATTTATTTTCACTGAAAAAAGATAGGCTTATTAACAGAAGGAGAACAAGAAAATTTTGAACTTTTGTCATTCCAGAGTACTCCAATGTTACCTTTCTTGTCTCCGTGAAAAATATAACAATCGTTGTTATGGAGTTGCTGGTTCGCTGTTATCTGTCAGTTTTATTATGTTATCCAACCGTCAACTGTTCATTCTGTAATAGCGTATTAAAAAATTTCATATTTGTGAGGTTCGTTTGCAGGAAGTTTTGGTAAGGCCAATTGCAGTTGGGTCAGAATCAGTTGTACTAAGTCCTCTTTCCAATTTTGCCAAGTTGATGCTACCTGACGAATGCGGTTTCTTAACCTCAGCTGCAGCGCTGGGACCACTGAGGTACGTTTTTTAGGTGATGACGTGCGTTGTTTCCAACTTTTTTTATGTTGAATATTTTTATAGAATAGATAAAAAGTTGGATGAAGATTTGAGACGAACCTATAATGGACACCATAAGATCAAAGAATTCAAGTATATACTTCCCAATTCAACAGTGGTAAGTCTCCGTTGTTAGGTTGACTTTTTTTTGCCCAATATCGGCCAAATATAGTTTTTTAAACTAAGAAATACTCACTATTTAGACTAATGAAAAGCCAAACCCATTTACGAAAGAATTATCCCGGCAAAAGAGTTCGCCATTAGAGGATGATAATTTCGACAGAGATGAGCTTTGGAGGACTGCAATGGAATCGAGAAGTAACTGATGAATTGCTTAATCTAATAAACCTGTATGATAGTTAAAGCTTGAATTAGCATCAGCTTAGTGGTTTACGATTTATACTTTTGCTAGCCTACACTTGTAAATGGTTCTTGTTCAGTTTATACAAAATGCACTTCTTTTGCAGGACAAAAGCGCTTTGCAAAAAAGTTTCAAAAACGGCCTTATTCAAAGGAAAACCTGTAATTATCTTCCTATTGCAATTACATTCCTTTTCGCACAGTTTTCTTATCTTCGGAAATTCACAAGCTTCCTGATAATTGAGATCTCTTGAGCGGCATTTGGCTTTCTCAACAGTTTCAACGTGTCCTATAGGAATGTGGCATCATAGTCTAGTTAGTTTAGTGTAGATGATGTTTTGTTATGTACCCTCAAGTGTCAGTGTTGTATATTAAGTTGTTCTGTTTGGTATTTGCCAAAAACCTGAGAAAGGATTAGCTTTTTCAGGCGAATAAACGCACGTTTTTTGATTGAACTTCGAAGTTTCTATATGGTTTTATGCTGTAGAACAACGACTTGTTTATTGGTGCTAATTATTTTGTCAGATTAGGCTTTCAAATTTTGTATCAAGTTGTAGAAGATTTTACTAGCAAAAGCGACAAGGATTTTGTGATGAGTGAAACAATAAGGAAGGAAACAGTTGCATTAAACCCCGGCAGTAATTGAATAAATGTTTTCAAACTTGGCGTAAAGCGGTCAAAACAGTTTGCTAATGACGTCAGCCTGCTGATAATAGTACTATCGCTGAGTGCTTAGAGTAACTTTCATGAGGCTTTTTAGCAATGAAGTACATGCACAGTAGTGGTGATGCTAGGGTCATCTACATTCCGATATGTATCTTGATCGCCAACATTATCCCATTTATTGCATACATCTCTTATCTTATCCTCTCCGGTGTCGCACTTATCGCTTTTGCAGGACTGTTGATACGTGAGTGAGTTTCACTGTTGCTAATCTGTTATATCACTGGGGCTAATTTATTATCAGTTAAAGTCCAGCTTGCTGGAGCAAATGAATGGTCATTTAGTTGAGTGACTAGTCCAATTCACATAGCTTTTTATCTTCAGTGATAGTGGAAAATCCTAGTGAAAGTAAACCGCATCATAGAAGGTAGTGGTATTCTTCAAAGATGATTCTCGTACAATTATCTGCAATTAACTGAGATCTTTTTCAGTTATTTGGTGGTCACTAGGTGTTGCCATTTATGCGCCAGTTGTATTGCTCTGTTCAACAGCAGGAATCCTTTTCACCATTGTCCTCATTTTTGTTACCAGTTTGTTCCAGTCTTTAAAAATTAAAAAACACTTTTGTATGTAATTACACTGCTGTGCAATAATTGTGCTTTCATTCACTGTATTAACAGTTTATGCTCTTTTTAAATTTGACTTATTCAGTTTTAGCTGCTACAGATGTTGTAATACATTTTTCCTCTCCTAAATTGTCAACGTTCAGATTTGTATAAATAATGTTTTGTTCGCTTCCGGATTACTAAGAATTTTTTAAGTTTATTTTTGCTGCTTTATAGACTTCTATTTGATAAGCAACATAATTTTTTAAATATCAAAACCTTTTTTCTACCAAATTTGAAAAAAAATAAGAAACAATTAGAACTTCTTCCTCCGATAGTTCAAGAACCTGTAGAAGCTTGTTATTTTTGTAAATAGCGGTCTTGTACTACGCTACTGTTCCACAATAGAAGCACTCCCACTATACGCGTACAACTTGTTTTGCCAACTACACCAGCTGCAATGGTTTCCCTTTGATGAACTTGTATGCTGCTACAGAAATTGCTGCAAATACGAGCCCATAGAACCGATGGTGCATACAATAAGAGGTCTAGCAGATTATTTTGAGACAGCTTCCAAACATATACTTGCCTGGTGGAAGACCTCAAATTTTTTATCTGGCTCAAATGGGTTCGACCTATTGGTCGTTTTCAACCAGCTGTGTTGTATCTAAAACACTTCCAATCTACTTTACTATCTGCTTTCTAAATGATTCAGTGACGGAAAGTTAAGCGAACGGAATATATGCCATGAAACAACGAAAAAAAATCAAATTGAATTTGCAGTAACTGCAGATGACAATGATGGGATATTCTTACACATGTTTAGACCTTAAATTCTAACGATGTTAATAACAAGAGATTCAGCCAAATAAGAATTGGAAGTTGTCAAATGAGATTTGCTAAAACAGCTCACATAGAAGTGTTTAGAATAATGAATGCATTAACTTTTTGGAATACTCGAAAGCTACAAATAACCACCCGCTAGCCCAGAATGTCCTCACCAGAGTTGGAGTAAGACCTTTGTACAACGCTGGAATGCCTGAACAACTTTAAAAAGTTAGAAGCCACATTTAACAATATGTCTTGATGCTAATGGTACAGTAAACCTACCTTCTTTTTTGAGGATTTCAAGAAACAGAGAGCCAAAGCTTCCTTTTCCAGAAACTTGCATACGTGATTTAATCACATCAGCTGGAAATATGGCCGCCCATAACGCCATTCCTCCAATACCTCCAGCTAGTGCTGTGCGAAATGGTCCTAAACAATCAGAGGTACAGAAAAGAAAACATTGAAATAATTCACTGAACATTAATCAACAGAAAAAAACCAACCAATTTCATCTTTAGTTTTACCACGTGGTGTAAGGTAGTATCTAGATGTTTCATATGCACCAAAGAAAAAAAAGTATCCTGGTACTTCACGGGCTAAAGTCGGCGTCATACCAACAAAAAATGACCGTAACCCTTCCGTACGCCACATATCTCTACACACTGACACCGGTGTACTGGAATAAAATCAAAACAAATATACGAGCGACTTTAGTTTCACTGTTCAGAAGAAACAAACATTTTAAAATCTTCTCGCACAATCTCCTCACTAAGGGATTTCCCAAAAGCCGTCACGACACTTCCAACATCTTTTAAATGGCAGTAAAAAACGCCCATTACAGTAGCAAAAGTGTATAACTTTTCTGAAAAATAAACTTTATCAACCAAAAAAATACCTTTTTATATTCGGATTCACTTCTCGCTGAGCCTGTAACCGGCATTTTACAAGTTCGGTTGGGCAGAGTACCATAGCAGCAAAGACGGCAGCAAGGGATCCGGCTGCAGCATTTTCCGTCGGATGCATCTCCTTCACATCTGATCGGCCACTCATAAACGCTACAGCCTAACATGCAATTGTCCTGTATTACAGTCACGTTGAACCGCCATGATTCTGATTAGTTTTACGTCCAATTGTATGTGGTAAAATAATGTTTGAGCATTATAACAGAACAAAATCTTTTAAAGAGGAAACTACAAGCACCAATTCTGAAAATCACTTAATTACCTTCCTCTCTTATTTTGACCAACTGTTCCATGACAGTTCAAAGAAGTTTTTCTTAATAATGTTGATTCATCACTCAATACGAAAGAAAAAAAAGCAATTTTTGCCAGAAAAAAATCAAAAGCCAGGCACTGGTGGTGAAAGTAAGAGAAACAACACGACGCTTCACTGTAGTAAGAAAACATGAAGGTTAAAAATTACCTAACCTTTTGACAGTATCCATAAGCAGTGAATAAAACAGCATTCTCGGCAATGTTAGCAGCTAATGCAGGCACAGTACCTAAAAAATTATAAGTGTACCTAAACAGCGCGCAACAAAACAAAAAAGAACTATTCCCAAAGAAAACTGACCAAAAACCACGGATTTTTCTCCAAAAAATTGCGGTAATAATAAAATCAAATAAATGAAAAAAGGAACAGGAAATACCGATGTTTAATCCTTCATTTTTCACATATTTCCTTAACCAGAAACTACATCATCATGCTGGCAAAAGCAGGGATAGAAGGATTAATGCTTTTTTTAACCACCACCGACCAGCTAAATAAAATTACAGTTCTCTAGATTCAAATGTCTATCAAAACTGTTGCAATTAAACCAACACCTCTGTACTGTAAAAAAAAACCATCTGAATCGCTCAAATTTTGACTTTCACACCACCGTAAAAAACACTATAGCACTTTGCCTAATTATTTCTGAGAAATAGTCAGGAGAAAAAAAAAAATATTTCAAATAATATTTATAACTTCCATCGTGTTCTTAAATTTCCAAGATAATTCACTGAAAAAATTACCACTCAAAACTTTTCTGATTTGTTGTCGTCCGTTTGTCTAAACCTTTGTTCATAACGTAAATACACACAGACCATGATTATGGCAAAAAGCGAAATATTTACCTGCATAAAGACCACGAATACCGTCTAATCGAAAAGTTTCTTTGAAGCATGAGATTGCACTTTTATATAAAGCAGGAAAAGTCTGCATTTTAACTTTTACTGTATCCAAGGGTTGTCCAGCATAAACATTAGCTATACCAGCTGCAAATAACCGTGAAACTGTTGTTTACTCCATTCTTTTCTCAGTTATAAGAAACATTTTGTAAACCTGTCAAAAGTTTAATTCCTAAGAAATTTATCATGTCCATATAATAAAGTTTGCAGCATAAAAGACATCCAAACAATAATGATACTTTTTAGTAAACATTAGGCAATAAGCTTAAACAAAGAAAACAGAAATCAAAAATGTACCTAATGTTCCAGCTGTCAAGTCAATACCACCATCCTTTAGTTGTTTTAATGTTGAATATTCAGATTCAATTTCGAATTGTTCCATCACTGAAAAGGGTAATCCATTAAATAAACCAAAAGAAGGCGTCCAGACAAACTGAGGCTATAAAACCTTTTCATAGACCTTTCAGAGCCTGTAGAAACTTTGAAAATGCATTTTAAAAAAAATCTTCACTCTAATTCAAATACCAACGAATAACAACAAAAAATTCATTTAATTATTGGTAATTCTATTAAATGAAAATTAACTAAAAATACCTATTAATCACTCATAAAAGTGAGAAAAAATTCTGTTTTTTTCTTTCAAACTAACTTAAATCTTTCATAACTATAGTCAGCATAAGAACAAAAAAAAAATTGGTTACTTTTCGCTTTCATTTATAAAAAAACAGACGAACGAACAACCAAACAAATAAATGAATATATAAATAAATAAATAAAATAAATAAATAAATAAATAAATA